TCAGCCCACGTACCCAACATAAAGATGTGAAAGAGCTGTTTATGTAGGTACATGATTACCCTATTCAAGATTTACCCCTATCCCGCGCAAACAAAATAAAAATACATGTAAGAGCTGTCCTATACCAGCTCTTACCTGATAAGTAGGGCTCGGTAGACGATTACCACGAAAAAACCTTAAAAAAATAACAAATTATGACAAATCGGTTGCATCTACGAAAAAAATGTTAAACGAATAAGTCACTACTAATTTTTTTTTTTCATTTGTCTTTACCGAATAAATGTCAAGTTAACTATACTTTTACTTGAAAATATTATTTATTTAGTAAACAAAAACTGTACAAAATTGCTATCTTATTATTGTTTAGTGTACGGAATACCTAAAACTCTTACAAGACAAAACATTAAACACTTTATGTAAGTATTATTTATTACTCGATAAGACTGTAGCACATAATATTGTAAGATTCAAAAAGACAAAAAACACATAAATTTATAGTTTTGTTGGTGGACATAAAAGATAACGTAGACGTCTTCTAATAATTTATGTTACTATTTTGATATATACTTTTTTACAAACGCTGAAATGCATATATTGACTGTTTTTAATTTTGGTGATAAAAAAAAAAGTGTAATTAATTTCTTCGCGTTATTTTTTTATTACATAACAGATTTATATATGAAACAGATGTCGGCTACGGGGACAATAACAATAATATAAATATATTTCATGGCTCTAACATATGTATAATCGGTCGTGAGATTATAATATTATTAATAATATATATTATGCACAGGGTGGTCCGATTTATATACAAACACAGGTACCATATTCTGTTGTAGACAATTAATTACCATTTCGTTCGAATTTCGGTCGAATGATGTTGCGGTTCGAAAAGGATATTAATATTATTATTTTTTACAAATAAATTTCAGTACAGTATACAAACTATAAAATATGGCAAACCATTTGGCAATGTTATGTGACAACATTTTGTGCACTATCGTCGAAGGCAGGAAACGCTCAGACAGGATAGAACCGCGACTGGAGTTTTAGTGTTAAAATATAATAATATAATAATATATTATTATATATATATATATATTTTACTTTTCTTGTATAGAGTGTGTATAGCCTATAATGTGATGCGTTGTGTGTATAGTATACAACTATGTAGACGTGCACGATTGCTGCGTTGTATGTAATTTGGAACAGCTGTTGTGTGAACGGCGATGGCTGCTGGAACTGGATTTTATTACGTAGTAAATCTGGTTGTATAGTGTCTGTGCTGCAAAAGCAAAAAACAAAATATTTTCACCGTCCAAAACAATATAACGACGGTAATACTATCATAACAGAAAAACATTAAGTACTATTATAATAATATAATACTATTATCGAGTACAGCTAGTCGCGGAATAAAAAACCCGTCGATGCCGAAGTGGAAAAAAATTACTAACGTTTAGACCAGGAACAGGAAGTCATCTTTGGCAAGCGGTTCGCTAAAGAATAGTATCTGATATTCTAACGTTCTTTTTTTATTTTAATATTTAATGTTTGCGACATCAGCTGTGTTTTCTTATATCCGATTAGATAATTTGTACGTTTAATTTATTGTTATCTCCAACGATACTTTATATTGTTCGCATAATTATTATCTTGTACATAGGTAGGCATAGGAAGTCCGTTAAATAAAATAACGTCCGGCAACACCTATAGTACTTACCTGTGACCCATTTAAGTGTAAAAAATGTACATAACCCGAACAATAAGAAAAAGTATATGACATTTTTTTACTATAGTCTATAGTCTATAGTCGAGTAATAAAATATTATTGTGTGCTTTAATTTTTTATAGTCATAACACGGAACATTTTTTTTCTTTCAAAATTAAAACCGGTTTTCTGTACACGACCAAATAGGATTACAGTGTTGCAAAACTGCACAGGCCCAAACACGTTCCGATTGTAAAAATTTACCATTTGATTCTGTAGATATTCTGTTATGTTAGATTAGGTCGTAGAAAATTGACCACTACGAATAATATTCCCAGAATCCCAGGTGTAATGTTCCAAGTCATTATGTAATATATCTGATTTTTTAAAAATAATATACTGATATAATAAACAAACTCAACATTTTTTATTAGCAAATGTATAAAATATATATATTTTTTTATTGATATTATAGAGAAATTCATATTGAGATCCGGGGATTGTGGAGTTAAGAGCGACTATCTAGAAGGAATACAATTTTGTTTTTGATGTACAAGAACATTTATTTTATATACTTTTTTTAAATAATGTTAATATTTTTTAGAGGTTCAATTTTACTAGAATACAAATGTTGAGAATATTTTTTCCAGAGCCCCCCCCCCCCCATTCAATTCACGGCCCATATGTTGTTATGTAAGTTTGTTAATTCAAAATATATTGTAAGCATTAAAGAAAACATATTGTAACTAAAATATACATAATTTTCCATTTGAAATTTAACGATTCAAACTTAATACACAGATATTTTAATATGTATATTATAAGTTTAGAATTGTATAGTCATTATTTTATCTTTTGCAGGGTGATGTGCTTTTAAGCAATTTCAGTCAAAAGAGAACAACATGTAATTGAAAACGATTCCGAGTTAGTTAATTAATTGTGAACGTGACTTAACAAATTTGTCTAGACTGTTCCAAAAATGAAATATTGTCGGAGGGTTTTCGCTTGTTTATAAGCCAATTAGGTATCAAATTGATGTTGGTAATATAAGTAGTTTAATATGGATGAAATATTAACATAGTTATATCGTCAAACGACATTATTATTAATGTTATTGTAGGTATCGTTTTATAAATCGTACATAGTTAATAATATTTATTAAATCCATACTTCATAAAAAGTATGGTCTATAAATATTTAATCACATATACCTGCATAGTTTTACAAATGGGAAGTACACCCCCTTGTCCCCAAATGCATCGCTGTAATAATTAATAGTACAACGAAAACAATTAAACAATTCTTACTGCTATTGTGTTACCGATATAATTTGTTTCTTTACCGAGTATTACAACAAAATATTTCTTAGGACCGAGTACATGTATATTATGTACCTAACTCTTGTTCAAAACGGACAGATGGCTTTTAATTTAAAAACAACAACATGTATGGCCACTCAAGCATTCAAATTCTCATAGCCTAACAAAGGGTGGTGGAAGTGCCTACCTCAGCATACCGCATACGGCGTACCTAATTACTGTTTTCAGTTTAAAAAAAATGTCAATTTTATTTCATAGTTTACTCGTTTATTCAACGTTATTGGCGAGGTTCAAAATATCATTCAATTTAATTCATGCATATTTTTATTTTTCAGCAGAAAATATTATGGTCTTATTTTGTATTTACTGAAACCTAATAATACAACTCAAAAACGAATTTAACTCATTATAAATTACAATATATAATTGGTTATAATTAGTTTAGTTGGTTTTTGAAATCCATATTTAGGCTTTAGGAAATACGCAATAAGAATTACACTATACAATTGTTTGTAAATAATTAATAGCTAAATCTTTCGATGATACTATAACTTTATTGTTGCATATAAATGTACTGATAGCCATTATGAAACTTGTTTAATTCATTATTCGAAGATTGGATAAAATAATAGTACAATTTAATGGTAAACCAGGCAACAAAATAAATTTCCTAATTTCAAACTGTTTCCTCGGAATCTGTTAGTGCCAATAATAATAACACTTAATTAGTAAACATACAGTTTTACTTATGTACTTATTAAATCATTGTTTTGATTTTTTCCCCTGAACTTCTTTGTAAATTGCAGTCAATAATAATAAACTTCGAGACTATAAAAAATTAGGCAATGAAGGGTCAAATAGTTACAAAATAACCTTTCACCATTTTAGGCCGGTGTAGTTAATAGATTTTTCTTATCAGTATGTCTTGCATGTCAAAAATACAGTATATTGTATAATAATATCAATTCCAACTCAATGGTTTGCAGCGTCGGATAGGAAAGCATCGGTTAACCAGAAAATTGAAAATTCTGAATAACTATCGTATTCAGTATGTAAAAAATAGCTTAGATCATAAATACCGAAAAAAAAACGTTAATATATAGGGTGGGGAGAATCAGTCCCCAAGCTAAACGTTCTGTGTATTTACATTATAAATATACCCAATTATACAGGATTTAATAGGAAGGGAGGTAAAGTGTGGCTGATGACTAATGACTAATGACTAATGCGCGCTGATCAAAGTATAGTCTTAACCAAGCTTAGTATGAACCAGTACAGTAAGAAATTATTAAAATTACCATTTGTAATATATATTTTCAGTTTCACACCAAAACTAAGTCAGTATGAAAAAGTGGAATTAAGGTGATCGCAGCTGAAGCCTGCCCTTTTAAAAACAAAAAAAATAAACTTAACGCTATATTCCCAGGGGGGGGGGGGGTAGAACATTTATTTATTTCGCTTTTTTAGGACTTATGTTCTGTAGACTAGATTGAAAGTTAATCGAATGTGTCCTTTAACAGCAAAAAAAATACTTAAATCATAATATCATAATCATAATATTATAAATTCGAATTTTACCCGTAAGTAATGACCATTTAACCTGTTTTTTAAAAACCTAATACAGAGAAATTTACCGAAATTCTGTTTTTTTTGTAGACACGGCACTTGGCAGTTTAGTTAGAGGGCAGTGTATAAACATATTATTAATATTATTATGTATAATACAATATAAACATATTAAAATATACATCAATGGCTATTACCGTCCGTTGTCCACCGATGGGTTCCCAGTTCCCACTTCCCTTGGCCGATGCCGGCTTATACGCCGTTGCCGGCTGTTCGCGATCAGATGATTTACCCCCTCCCCTCGTCCGCTGCGGCCACCGCGGCACTACCCCCACCTTAGCCACTGCCTGGGCCGCCACACAATGGTCCACGGCCGCCATTCACCACCAGCCGGCTTGGCCGTAGGCGCATAGACCCGTCACGACTCGCAGCGTTTAGTTTAACGCCGACCGTGCCACAGCGTCCACGTACCTCGCGGTGCGCCACACAGTTACACCAAACACACATACAAAACTCACAAAACAATAATCATTATTAACAGTTGATTTTTTTTTTTATCATTTTGGTTTCTAATTTTCCGAACCGTGCACCAAAAGCCCGGTAGGTAATCGCTTTAAGAAACCGTTCGCCCCAGCTGTTGTTTCTAGTCTACGAAAAACAAAACCGATTTTTGTAATAAATAATTATTTTATAATTGAAATAATTATTTTATACCGTACACCGTCGTCGTCGTCGTCGTCGTCGCTGTGTTGACAGTTAGCGTTACCGTAATATAAAAATATTATTATAAAATCGGAAAAAAGTCTCCGGGTCGTCGTTCGTCCTACTAGAGCCGCCGCCGAGTTGACCAACCGAATAAAACACAAAACAACTACGCTGATTGCTGCCACGAAAGTGAAAACGGAGTCCAAACTTGTAAGTATTTAAAAAAAAATTAATAATACGTATATTATACTATAATATTATTATTATCGTCGAAGCCGGTTGATTTTTTTCGAAAGTACACTGTTCCGGCTCCCTCCCCCCTCCCATTTCCCATTTCTCGCTCTCTCGAACTACCTGTTATTATTTTCTTTATGTAAAATTATAATAATAATATTATATTGATATTATAATAATATTATCGGCTTCTAGAAGAGAAAGCAGAATACGTACTTTGTCCGTCATAATATTATCATTGTTTTCCCGTTCGCTTTGAGTTCTTTTTAATCGCTGCTACGTTTTATGATCGTCATCATTGTTGCGGTTCGGTCGAGTTCCATTTTGATTTGTTTTTTTTTTTTGGTACTATTTTCGATTTGGTAATTTTCCCAACTTTTTCCCATTTACCCCCTGCCCGCCATATCTGTTGTCGTCTATTATTCGACAATAATATTATATTATATATATATATAAATATATACCTGCGAGGACTACCTGTTTTATCTGCATGTAAGTTTACGAACGACTAGTTTTTAGAATTTTTTCACAGTGATAATGCAGTACGAAAATGGCAAGTGATACATAATAAATGTCGGGTTAATAATAATATATGTTTATGTGTCAGGGGAAAAAAAAAGGTTAACCGTGTTCTTATTACTAAATGAAAAGGTGGGCTAGTGGATTACCTACTTTTAATAGATTACAGTAAGAATACAATAAATTATGTTATTATAATTACATTTTCATCTTAAGTCTGACTGAAATATAATGACGTTACATAACAATTATTTTCTCTTGTAAACACTTGGATAACATAAGTATACAATAGTCTGGACCAAGTAACGCAGAGAAGCAATTGAAAAAATGTTTGACTCTTATTTAAAAACGGGTTTTTGTTTAAATTTAATCACTTACACTTTTTATTTTATTATTTCCTAAATTCAAATTAAAATACTAGTTCTTACTAAACAGCTGTTTTAACAGATTAAATAGAATAATTACAAAATATATAATCTAGTTTTTACTTTTATTGATTAGGTAATATTAATAATATATATCTTATCATAATTCCAAAAAATAGTTTGGTTTTTTGTTTGTATTGAAGTTCTTAATGGCAGGCATTAATCAGCGTCATTAAGAAATCTTTTAGAAGTATCTTGTAGGTATGTAAAAATTGGTAGTGAATCATATTTGACCTAACAAAAAAACTGTTAACTAATTTACCTTTACTCTTCTCTTAATGTTTTTATTCCTAATTCAGCGACTCATTAATTCACTCATTGATTGGCTGCAAGCTCTTGAGTAAGGTAAATAAATTAAAGCCTTGCCACAATATTAATTAAGTGTGCTCATTAAAACAATTAGATGTATTATAGATCTAATATTTCATGTTTAATTGCTAGTTTTATACAATCTAAGCTACAGTAATTACAAGGTACACTATTGGTGACAAAATTGTTTACCAATCTGTATTAATCTGTTAATTTTAACATTGATATGACCAATTTATTGACTAATAGATCCACTAAACAATTGTAAATTGTGTGCATAAAAACATCCTTGTTTTACGTAGATTCCTTCGGGGTAGGTTATGCTTTTTATTGCCAAAATAACATCATATTTGTTTAGTAATACAAATTAACAACATTCATTTTTCTGTTGAATTTTTCAAAAATGTACACAATATGTTTTCCTTTTGTATGTATTTTACTTATAAATAAGAAATTTAATTTCGAAAACAATTGAACATCTTTGGCTTACATGCCTCTAGGTGGCTTCAATAGAGAAGGCAAAAAAGAGTTTCTTAATAGAGCCCAAATTATGAAATGTGAGGCACATTCATGCGGTTTTGAATCAATTTTACGGCTACTATTTGTTTTTAGGCGTAGATAAAATTGTATTTTCCAATCTAACGAATGTTACTGACAAGAACCAAATTATTGGCTGCATCTATTGTGATTTTAGGTTGTCTATGCTTATTCCTAATACTTCTATCAATTTAAATTGTAATTAATTTACCAAAAATTGGTATTTTGAGTCGTCCTTTTTCATATTTAAGTTAATTACTGAAATGTTTGCCTCCTTAAAAAATGTGACACTTGTTTTTTTTACAGTTTTGCGCAATCAAACCACTTGAATAATATTTAAAAAATTTTTTACAAACTAAAAGATATTATTTTGTTGGTTTGTGTTTTGTAGTAACTAATTTTTTGTTATTATCATCATTTATTGTAATTGTCGTGGTTCTAATTGTTGTCGACAGTATACATTTAATTAAAAGTACTGTGACGGTTTCAATTAATTTTGATACTCGTAGGATATGTCCAAATAAAGTTATTATTTAATTGACTAAATGTTTTACCAAGTTAGGTTATATTTTTTAACATGATCAGAGTTGGCAAAGCATATTTTTTATTACAAAACTACCTATATGCGCCAAATGTGCACATTATTAGCCATCTAATAATTTTGTTAGTTTTTGAATATACTCCACATATCTATGAACTGGTTTAACTTCAGTTAACAACATAAAATATGCAAACATCTAAGGTTTTTGTTTTATTACAATTAAGTTATAATTATTAGTCCCGTTACCACTGTTCTACTCTTTTTGTTTGTGGTCATAGACTGAAACTTAATTAAAATATTGATCATAGTGTACAGCATTATTAAAGCGAGACCTTCGTAAAAATAACAATAGTGTTTTTAAATAATCTATTATTATTGTCCAAACGTAATTTATTTAATTTCCATACTTAAACATGCGTTATTGATAGGTTTCATTAAAATGTTCAGAATGCTTATTTATTTTAACACAAAATAAAGTATATGGTTTTCAAAGTTGACATGTTTGACTTTTAAATTGTAGTTATCATTTTAAACTGACATTTAAATAAACAAAATTGAATGTTAACTCTTCTGTAAACAAACAATGTCGTTTTGATTTTCATTAAAATTATGTTTAGTTTAGTTTTATTTCATAAAATATTCAGAAGAAAATTAAATGTTTGCTTTTAATGAAAGAAATGCTAATAATTTCTTTGAATAATAAATAAAATATTCTACAATATTTTCTTATTAATTATAATTTTAATATTTTAAAACAAAAAAATGTAGTACGTTTTGGGGAGTTCTCATAGTTAAAATAAAATTCTAATCAATTATTAAGCAATTTATACCTAAATAATAAACATTTATGTAACAAAATAAGTCATAAACATAGTACAGGAAAAACGTTAAAATTAAATAAATATAATTTGCCATTTATTTTTCTATTTATTATTAAATAATTGATTATAATCAATAGTAAGTAGTAGTAATACTTAACAAATTTAGTATACAACAAATAAACTAATTAAAAAAAAAATTGTATTATTTAGTCAACCAAATTATTTTTTTACTTTCACTGGGTAGACATCATGATGTTTTACTACTGGTGACAATCATTAATAAGAGGTAGAATTGATGAAAAAATTTGCCATAATAAAATTTAAAATTCAATTTTATTATTATTTCTACCATTTGTTGTGTGTTTCTTTTTACAGATAAATAACAATGAAGGTGGAATTAGAGTCTGCTGTGAAGTTTATTATTTCAATGCTACGGGCTGGACACAGAGCTAAATTGGTTCGTAGCAAGGGAGATAAGTTTTTCCTCGAGCCCGAAATCGAAATGCTCCAAATGTCGTTGCTGTCCGTGATGAGCCATCAATACAAGGGCTATTGGTTCCCTGACTCACCTAACCGGGGCTCTGCCTACAGATGTATCCGCATCAACAAAGACAAAATGGATCCTATCATCGCCAAGGCCGCCGACTCCTGTGGTTTGTCTTGCAATTTAATACGTTCCTATCTACCCGATGAACTGACCTTATGGGTCGACCCCTCTGAAGTGTCTTACCGTATTGGCGAGGAAGATGGTAGTATCTGCGTATTATACGAGGCTCCCATCGAGGCACCGCAATACAGCCCCGTCTCTACACCCCCAACAACATTTAACCAGACTATTGCTGTCTCTAGCGACAGTGGTTACTACTCTCCACCAGCCAAGCCGTCGAACATGATGACATACGTACCGCCCACATACGGATCTCCTGTGCAATTTGTGCATTCTGCTTACCAGTCTTATCCCACTTATATTTCAAGTTAATTTAATTTAAATTTAAAAAAAAAAAAGAAAAAAAACGTAATCACTAATTCAAAAGAAATTACATCATGTAAATAATATTAATAATAATAAAAAACAAAGTAAAAAAAAATCGAAAAAAAAAGAAAAAAAATAACCAAATAGATTTATATTATTTATTAGATAAGTATTTAAATTAGAAAAAGTTTTATTCGAAAAAGATCATAAACTAAGGTCAAGAGAATGTGAGGCACTCAGTATAAAATAATTTTTTACTGACTACATTCCCTTCCTCCTCGTCCCTCCCCCCTCTTTTCACAACCAGTGATTGGTGATCTCACAAAAGTCTGTAGACAGTAATAAGTAATAACGCTTTAGGTATGGTGTCGCACAATTTACAATATAATATTATATATTATGTGTTCGTTGGACTCTTTATGAATATTCTGTGATTGTATAATTCAAAAGTGCAAAAAACAAACCTTTTTAAAAATTTATATGTATGCATAATAGTAATTTATGTTTATTCGTCGTGTTCTTGTACTGGGTGGTCCTTGTGTGAATACTGTTGATCGAAATAGTAGTGTTGTGTACGATCGAGAGACTGGGTAGTGTAATAATATGTTTTTGAAAACTTGATAGGAAACTCATTGTTTTTTACAAACAAAAATATTATCTAGTATAATAGTAATAATTCATTACAGTTTTTAAATTAGCATTTTATCGTCGATCCCTATGTAGAAATTAAGGCTTTAAATTAATTATTAAAAATACATACAACTACTAGATCTATATATATATATATATATATATTGCTTTAAAATCAGTGTGATGATATAATCGTTTATTCATATATTATATTATACAAACTAAGATATTAATAGAAAAAATCTAAAATATATTATACAATTTTTCCTTGCCGTTAGCCTAAAATGAAATCATATTAAGTTGACGACAAACCTTTCCCCCTCACTAGTCTAGCACTGCGAATATTTTTGTTTTTGTTTTATATACTGTGTAGTGCTTTGCATGTGTGATTTAATAAATGTTACTGTGTTAGACTTAAAAATCCATCTGACATGTTTTTTGTTAGATCATTTATTTGTAATAGATTTCTCGTATCCATCCGTAACATAAACGTACCATCGAACAAATTTATTTATTTTATTTTTTAAACCTAAACCGTGCGTTGTTCCTTTAACGTTATTGTGTAACTCTATTAAGTGGTGGCCATAAAAAAAAAATGTATGACCGTAAGTTATCTTTTCACCGGCGTTGCTTAAAAATAATATCATTATTATCGTCAACTTGAACCTTTTAAGTTTGTTGTAAGTATTGTATTTTAAATTCTGGTTACGCTTTGGAAAAAATAAAATGTTGGTCAAAAAAATTTTTTTAGCACTGCAAACGAGTGAAGTGTTTTTAGGTCGGGTCGAATCAATGTCGGATATATAATTCGCTGATACTGTATATTTTTGTCTTTTTTTTTTTTTTAATCAACTAAAATATGTTCATTTCAACTAGTCGTTTTATTGCTTTTTCATAGATAAGTCAATTATAAAATATTTCCAGCATGATTGAAGTAAAAAATACCAATTTTTTAATATTTAAGCGTGGACGGGGGTTGTAAGACGGTTTGTAAATATTGTAAATGTAGATATATATTGCATTGATCTCTTCGTCTCTCTTTTTTCACTATCTTAATCACATCCCCGTCTTGCGTTATTATTATTTCTCTGTGGTAACAAAAAAAAAGTAAAAACGTTTTAAAAAAATTCCTCCCCTCCCCCAATCCATTGATATAATATTATTTAATAATAGGTATACTTAAATGAAAAAGTTTTTTTGTGATATGCTTAGAATTATGTTATAATGTATTTGAACAATTTTATTTATTTTACTATTATTATTATTTGTATCTAAAGCGAGATATATTTTGACGGCGATTGATCAGATTTGCATAACATAGTAAAACGACATAAAAACTAATAGTATGTAAAACACACACTTTTAACTAAATATTTTTGTGTGCGCTTTCCCTGTTATTATTATTTTTTTTTTCATTGTTGATTGCACATTAAAATATAAAAACCTTAACAAACAACCATGTTTACTTCTTCCCAGTCCCCTCCCCCCTCCCAGTCTTCTCGACACTTGTAGTATATAGATTTAGATATAATATGTTTACTTGTATTTAACGGTAATATGATTTTGTCCAAAGTTGTTGTATTTCAAATAATATGAGCCATGATATTATATATATATAAAATATTATTTATATGTATTTAAAGAAAAATATTTGTAATTTTTGCTTCCTGTTATAGGTTTAAAAAGTTTAATGTAATTTAATTGAAGAAAAAATATATTATATGAAAAAAATTATTATCGGTGTTCTCAGCTTTTGAATGTGATACGTTTTGTAAAAAAAAAAATATAAAATAAATGATGAAAAAATATTATAAAATCGGACTGTTATTTTTATATTTTAATTATTTTATATTCTCTAACTGTTGTGGTTTGATACGAATTGCGAATCTTGAAATATCATGGCCGCATTTTGTCGACTTGGTGGTTTTCGGATATTATAAAATAGAAATCGTCTTACATAATTCTGAACACACATCTCTTGTGTCGATTGAGTCTAACCGGCAGGGCAAGACATACAAATAAATCCATGAGATGTGGTTGTTTGTGCGTGTGGAATCGAATGGATAAGAGCAAATATTTCTGGTGTCCTAGTTTGCAATGAAAAAGCTGTAAACATGAGCGAAAAACGTTTTTAGAAAACAAAATATCAAAATTGTTTATACACAACACTACGACGACGATTACAAAGTATAAGTTTTGGTAGAGGAAAAATTGTTGCTTATTACTAAAGTTGTAGCTAAATCGAAGTTCAAGTATAAAACTTGATAATGTACTTCGAAAAATTGTTAATGTTCAAATAAAAATACAACTTTCGGTAACTCTTATGTATCATTGTTTCATTCGAACTTTGATAAGTAAATTTCAAAATAACTTGCTTATTTTTAGGTTTGATTATTGCTGTTGAAACGGGACTTGCTTGAAAAAGTTCTAAAACTTTCTAAATGATCTAAGTTTCAAATAAATTTAATAATATTATATTACAAAAAAAAATAGATTAAAAAAATAAAACAAAATATCATAGCAAGTGCAGGTTATCCCACGAGGTTTCATAAAATATTAAATAACTCCTAAAAAATTAAAAAAGTTTTAGCCAATTTTACTACAATATTTTTTAATTAAGATTTTTGTTAAATATTTTGAAATAAATAAAGTACCTATATATAATTAAAAAATAGCACCGCTTTTACCTCTTGCCTACATATAACTTAATATGTTTATTTTTTAAGCTGTGGTTTGATAAGTCATTGAATTTTGTATTTCAAAAACTAACAATTTATTGTTTCTAGTTATTTTTACTAGGTATTTTTATTTATTTAAATAATAAAAAAATATTTTTAGGTGTCTAATAATGTATTTTTTTGGTTTACATGACATTTTACATTGTTAAATTAAAATTAAATTATTACATTCTCGGCTTCGTTTCGAAGATAAATAATATTATTTTATTTTTTCTCAGACCTAACCGAACCTTAGGAGATATTTCGATTAGTAATACCTCGTGGCAACTCGTTTTATTATTTGTCATTATGATAGTGAATGCGGCAACGTTGCACATCATTATTTTGTGCTCAATCACATTCATTTTTTGTGTCGGCAGCAAATTCTTTGATCATATTTGCTAGTCGGTGCCTGTTTGGTTAAAAAGTAATTCTTTTTCGTTTCAAACTCTTAGCTCAATGAAACAAAGTATTATTCTCAATTTTGTGTCAGTCTTTGACTAAACAGCTAAGCTAAACAACAATCATAGTTTACTGTGATTAACTAGCTAACCCCTGTGGATGTTTTTGGGCTTCGTATTTTCAAAATTAGTTAAAATCTCATTTTTAGAAAAGGATTGGTAAAAAAAATCCATTCATTCTAAACCGTTGGGTAACATGTAAACATTAAATGGATCTGTTTTTTATGGTAGTTAGTTAGGTAGACTGACAGGTATAGGTAGAGAGTTGAAAGTGGCGACGGTCTGCTGTTTTTTTTTTTTTTAATTCAATTTTTTTTTTCAATAACAACTCGTTCGCTGTTTGCGCCAGACGAGCCGCGGAAGAGAGTTGGTCGCTTTCGCTTTATATCTATCGGCTTGGCGATCGAGATCATACTGAATACATAATGCAATAATAATATATACACACACACACGCGTGACATAGGTAAGACTACTTAAGTAGATAGAATACAAGCCTAGTGTTGTTAATAAACATACAACGCGTGCAAAATAGCTTAAGAATAACGTTCTTCGCGAAAATGAACAAACATTTTTTCTTACCAAATATTATTAAAAAGTTGGTTAAATTTCAAAAAATAAAACAGAATACATAAAATATTTTCAAGTAAATTTAGCAAAAAAAAAAACCTAACCCAAAAAAACTTATATTTTTCAAGAGCTTGTTTGCTAACTACTTTAAAATTAGGTTTCATTGTGTTTATATGTACCCAAAAAACCTACTGTGTCATGCTTAACAAAATGTACATCAATTCTATTTTCTTGTTGAGCCAACCGACACATATGTCCTATTCTAAATAGGCGCTTGTAATTAATAGACCCTAATAATTTTGTGGTTAAAAAAATCTGAAATGAACATAATTTATTTTTAGTAATATTACTAATGTAGATACACGTTTGCGCAACAAAATACTACTTAGCATGTCATCCAATTTGTTTTTATGGTTTTGTCGAATGAGAGAGAATTGGGAGCAGCCTAAATGAGAATGTGAAATGCTAACACAAGAAGAAGTTGAGGAGTTGTGTAAGGTAAATGAGAGAAAACTAGGCGAGCGTCTCAACTTGAACTGTTTAGGAATTAGGCGACTGATATTTTTGTAGGTGTTTTTTTTTTAAATTTGTTTATATTATATTGACAGTGGTTTCAATAAAGATTTGAATTTAATTTTTATAGTTCTTGCCTATTAAGTTGTTACTTGTTTAGCATATTTTATGGACTGAGTTAACAAACT